ATGGTAAATAGATTTGTTACTGGATCCTGGCCTTAATGGTAAATAGATTTGCAAAATGTCTGCATAAAAATGAAAGTTGACATTGTGCTGTCTTATAATAGATCCAAGTGGCAACATGTACAAGGAAAAGAGCAGAGGGCCCAAAATGGAACCCTGGGGTACCCCATACAGAAGAGGGGCTGTAGAGGAAGAGGAGTCATTGAGCAAGACAGAGAAGGTTCTGTCAGATAAATAAGATGTGAACCACTTCAGAGCCGTGCCACGAATCCCAACAAAATCATGGAGGCGAGACAGAAGGACAGAGTGGTCCACAGGGTCAAAGGTCGCTGTAAGGTCGAGGAGAACCAGAGCTACTGGGCATCCAGAATCAACTCACTGAGCTATGTCATCATGAACTCTCAGTAAAGCTGATTCTGTGCTATGTCAGGATCTAAAACCAGATTGAAATTTATCCAGGATTGTGATTTTTCCAAAAAAAGGCTGAATTTGCACAAGAACGATTTTTTCTAAAACTTTGGTGAGGAAGGGTAAATTAGAAATAGATCTAAAATTTGATAAAACCAAGATTTGTTTTTTTGAGAAGGGGGTGGACTGTTGCATGTTTAAAAGCAGAAGACATAATTCCAAGGGTCAGACATGAATTGAAAAAAAGAAAGGAGGTAAGGACCAACAATATTAAAAACCTCTTTCAATAATCTGGTAGGGAGAAAATCAGTGGGGCAGTTGGTGGGTTTAACTGATTTCACTATTTTGTCCAAGAGGGAATAAGACACTGGTTCAAACTGGTCAAATAAAACAGAACCAGCAGAGACAGAAGAAAACTCTGAAACAGAAGTAGCAGGTGTACCTGTGGCTTGTCTGACAGATGCAACTTTATCAATAAAACAGGAGAGAAAGTTCTCACGGGTGGAGGCTGAGGCATCAGGTAAGACTGAGGTGGGTGGATTTAAAACAGAGTTAATTGTATTAAATAACACCCTGGGGCAGTGGCTACTGTTTGTGAGAATGTTAGACAGAAATTGTGATTTTGCATCATTAACAGATCTGATACAGAACAAGAGTTCTCCTTAATAAAACCAAACAATCATGTTGCCTGTCATGCTTCCACTGTCGGTCAGCTCTTCTACATTGCCTCGTTAACTTTGTAATGACCCTCGTTAACCTGTAATGAGCTTATTAATCTGTAACAAACCTCGTTAAATGGTAATGAGCATCGTTAACCTCTAACAAAATTTGTTAATCTATAACGAGCCTCGTTAAACTGTAATGAGCCTTGTTAATTGACAATTTTAATTTACTTTTTAAATTATATCCTTTTTTTTTTTACTTTTAATTAACTTAATTGTTGGCATTATAATATTCTCTGTTATTTTTATAGCTTGTGATTCTTATGTATGTTCCTTTGTACTGAAACTCCCGCACAATAATTTCCTGTGGGATCAATAAAGTTCTGTTTTATCTAATCTTAATCTGTAACGAGCCTTGTTAATCTGTAACGAGCCTTGTTAATCTGTAATAAACCTTGTTCATCTGTAAAGAGCCTTGTCCATGTGTAACGAGCCTTGTCCATCTGTAACAAACCTGGTTATTCTGTAACAAACCTGGTTTATCTGTAACGAGCATTGTTTATATGTAATAAACTTGTTAATCTGTAACAAGCCTTGTTAATCTCTAACGAGCCTGGTTAATCTGTAACTAGCTTTGTTCATCTGTAACGAGCCTTGTTAATCTGTAACAAACCTGGTTAATCTGCAACGAACCTTGTTAATCTGTAAAAAACCTTGTTAATCTGTAACGAACCTTGTTAATCTCTAACGAGCCTGGTTAATCTGTAACTAGCCTTGTTAATCTGTAGCAAGATTTGTTAATATGTAACAAGCATTGTTAATCTGTAACGAGCCTAGGTAATCTGTAACGAGCCTGGTTAATCTGTAACGAGCCTGGAAAATATGTAACAAACCTTGTTAATCTGTAACAAACCTTGTTAATCTGTAACGAGCCTTGTTAATCTGTAACGAGCCTTGTTAATCTGTAACGAGCCTGGTTAATATGCAATGAGCCTGGTTAATATGTAACGAGTCTGGTTAATATGCAACAAGCCTGGTTAATCTGTAACTAGCCTTGTTAATCTGTAACTAGCCTTGTTAATCTGTAACGAGCCTTGTTAATCTGTAACGAGCCTTGTTAATCTGCAACGAGCCTTGTTAATCTGTAACGAGCCTTGTTAATCTAACAAACCTGGTTAATCTGCAACGAGCCTTGTTAATCTGTAGCAAGATTTGTTAATATGTATTGAGCATTGTTAATCTGTAACGAGCCTGGTTAATCTGTAACGAGCCTTGTTAAACTGTAACGAGCCTTGTTAATCTGTAACAAGCCTTGTTAATCTGTAACGAGCCTTGTTAATCTGTAACGAGCCTTG